CAGGGACTCTCATACATTACCGGTGGGACTGTAAAATGATACAACCACTGTGGAAAGCAGTATGGCAATTCTTTAAAAAGGTGGAATTAGAAATACCATTTGACCCAGCCATTCCATTAGGTATATACCCTAAAGAAGTGAGAGCCAGGATAAGAACAGATATATGCACACCCATGTTCATCACAGCACTATTTACAATAGCCAAAAGATGGAAACAACCTAGATGTCCATCAACTGAGGAACAGATAACCAAACTATGGTACATACACACAATGGAATACTATGCAACACTAAAGAATAATGTAGAATCTGCAAAACATCGCATAACATGGATGAACTTGGAGGACATTATGCTGAGTGAAATAAGTCAATCACAGAAAGACAAATATTGTATTAGTCCATTATTATAAAAAGTCAAGGAAAGGTTTATATATGGATGGAAGGCAATTTCTTTGTTGGTTACCAGGAGTGGGAGGGAACACTGTTAGATAGGTAGAAACAAGTACTGATTTAGGTGAGGAGAAGGGCAATGTATCAAATTTGAGTGATCAACACGGTGGCATTGAGGAAGAGGAAGACATAGAGAGGTGCATGGGAGGAACAGACAACAAAGATGAACCCTTTTGTACATACAGTACTGCGTTGTCAGTGAAGGCAAACATGGATATACGGCTGGATAAATGGGCGGACAGGTTGAACTATTAGGTATGTCTATGCAGGGGGGAGTGTGCCCAAGACCATATGTAGGGTTTGCAAACAATGTTTCTACAAGTGTATTTGTATGCCTTGTAAGAATTCCCATGTATACAGTAGAGCTGACAAGGAACAAGGTTGTAGTCACTTCTTGGCCACAGCCAGCCACCCAGAGGGAGCAAGTAGCTGGACCTGTGGGATTTGGACCATAGTCCCAGGGTACATCAAGCTCAATTGGCATAACATACTACACAAAAAATTGTTCCATATCCTACTTTGGTGAGCAGCAATTGGAATCTTAAAAGATTGCAAGCAGATGTCTAGATGCAACAATGTGTCTCTCCTCATCCAGAGCAAAGAAGAATGCAGAAAACCAAAGACACATGGAAACAAGTAATCCAAGTGACTGGTACACCATGTGATCCTCAGCCTATACAACTATAAGACCAGAAGAACTTGATGGTGCCCAGCTACCACTACCAACCACTCCGAGGGGGATCTATGTGGGAGGATCCTGGATAGAGTGGAAGAACAATGTGCAACAAAACTCAAAATCAAAAAAAAAAAAGGGACCAGTTTTGCTGGTCTGATACAGCCTGATGGAACCACTGAGACTATGGCCCCTAGCTGCCCTTTGGGTCTGGAATTGAACCCACTCCTATGGCTTCCAGCCAAATAAAAGTCAGGCATATGACCTAAGCACTTATATTAGGTAGATACACTCCTTGAAGGGAACAATCATGGAAGAATAGAAGGGCTGTGTATGTATACATAGGGACATGGCTCAGGGGGCAGGAGTGCATGGGAGGGAAGGACACAGGGAAGATGTAACTATGGGGAGGAAATGCGATGGGAGCTGTTGCACTGCTGGAAACTGCAGTCAATGACATGAGACAAAGTATATGTGAGCTGCAGTAAGGAAAGTAAATTTGCTCTGTAAACTTTCACCCAAATCACAATAAAAATTTAATTAAAAAACAAAACATTGGAACATAAAAGGTATAAAGTATGAATCCAACAAAATTAGAAGTCATCAAAAATGAAATGCATAAAGATCGATATCTGAGGCATTAGTGAGTTGCAAAAGACTGGTACTGGCTATTCTGAATCTGACAATCATTTAGTCTATTGTGCTAGGAAGGGCAAATTGAAAAGGAATGGCATTGTATACATTGTCAAAAATAATGTTTCAAGATTTATCCTGAAGTGCAATGTTGTCAGTAATAGGATAATATCTAAACACCTACAAGGAAGACCAGTTACACTATTATTATTCAAATTTGCGTACCAATCACTATAGCCAAAGATGAAGAAATGGAAGATTTTTACAAACTTCTACAGCTGAAACTGATCCAATATGCAATTAAGATGTATTGATAATTAGTGGTGACTGGAATGGAAAAGTTGGTAACAAACAGCAGCACTGGCAGGTGGAAAATGTGATGACAGCCATAGAAATGATGCCAGAGACCACATTATAGAATTTCTAACAACCAACAACTTAGTCACTGCAAATATTTTTTTTCAACAACATTAACAGCAACTATATATGTGGACCCCACTAGATGGAATACACAGAAATCAAATCAAATACATCTATGGAAAGAGGCGATGGAGAAGCTCAGTGTCAAGAGTACGAACAAGGCCAGGAGCTGACTGTAGAGCAGACCATCAATTGTTAATACACAAGTTCAAGCCGAAGCTGAAGAAAATTAAAACAAGTCCATGAGAGCCAAAATATAACTGTGATTATATCCCATCTGACTTTAAAGACCATTTAAAGAACAGATCTGACACAATGAACACCAGTGACAGAAGACTAGACGAGTTGTAGGATGACATTAAGAACATCATACATGAAGAAAGCCAAAAGGTCATAAAAAGACAGGAAAGGAAGAGAAGATCAAAATGGATTTCAGAAAAAAACTTGGAAAATTTCTCTTGAACTGAGACTAAAGCAAATGGAAGAAATGATAAAACAAAAGAGCTGAACAAAAGATTTCAAATGGTGGCTTGAGAAGGCAAAGTAAAGTATTATAATGAAATATGCAGAGACATGGAACTAAAAAATCAAAAGGGAAGAACATGCTTGGCATTTTTCAAGCTGAAAGAACTGAAGAAAAAATTCAAACTTCGACTTGAAATATTGAAGGATTCTAATGCAAAATATTGAAAGACAGTGGTAGCATCAAAAGAAGATGGGAGGAATACAAAGCGTCACTGCACCAAAAAAGAATTGGTCAGTGTTTCACTATTCCAGTAGGTAGCATAGGATCAAAAGCCAATGGTATTGAAGGAAGAAGTCTAAGCTGCACTAAAGGAATTGGCAAAAAACAAGACTACAGGAATTGATGGAATACTCATTCAGATGTTTCAAGAAATTGATGCAGTGTTAGAGATGCTCACTTGTCTATGCCCCAAAATTTGGAAGACAGCTGCCTGTCCGGCGAACTGACTGAACTAGATCCTTATCTGTGCTCATTCCAAAGAAAGGTGATCCAACAGAACGTGGAAATTATCAAACAGTATCATTAATACCATATGCAAATAAAGTTTTGCTGAAGATAATTTAAAAATGGTTTCATCAGCATATTGACAGGAAACTGACAGAAATTCAGCCTGGATTCCGAAGAAGGTGTAGAATGAGGGCTATGATTGCTGATGTCAGATGGATCTTGGCTGACCAAAAGGAATACCAGAAAGATACCTGTGTTTCACTAACTGTGCAAAGGCATTTGACTATGGGATCATAACAAAATATAAATAACACTGTGAAGAATAGGAATTCCAGAACATTTAATTGTGCTCATGAGAACATAGACCACGAGGCCATACTAGCACAAGGGGATAGAGTGAATGGTTTAAAATCAGGAAAGGTTTGTGTCAGGGTTGTATCTGTTCACCACACTTATTCATTATGTATGGTGAGCAAATAATCTGAGAGCTGAACTATATGAAGCAGAACACAGCATCAGGATTGGAGGAAGATTCATTAATAACCTGTGTTACAGAGATGACACAACCTTGCTTGCTGAAAGTGAAGAGGACTTGAAGCACTTACTGATAAAGAACAAAGACTACAATCTTCAGGATGGATTACACCTCAACAAAAAGAAAACGAAAATCCTCACAACTAATCCAGTAAGCAACATCATGATAAGCAGAGAAAATGTTGACACTGTCAAGGATTTCATTTTACTTGGATTCTCAATCGATGCCCACTGAACCAGTGGTCAAATCAAATGACACATTGCATTGGGCAAATGTGCTGCAAAAGACCCCTTTAAAGTGTTACAAAGCAAGATGTGACTTTGAAGACTAGGATGTGCCTGACCCAAGCCATAGTATTTTCAGTCACCTCCTATGCATGCTCAAGCTGGACAATGAATAAGGAAGACTGAAAAAGAATTGATGCCTTTGCATTATGGTACTGGCAAAGAATATTAAATAAATCATGGACTACCCGAAGAACAAACAAATTTGTCTTGGAAGGACAGCTGAGAGGCTCCTTAAAAGTGAGAATGGTAACACTTCATCTCACATATTTTGGGCATGTTATCAGGAGGAACCAGTCCTTAGAGAAAGACATACTTGCAAAAGTAGGAGGTTGGCGAAAAAGAGAAAAACCCTCCAAGACATCAACTGACAGAATGGTTGCAACAATGGGCTCAAAGATAGCAATGACTGTGAGGACAGCTCAGGACTGCGCAGTGTTTTGTTCTGTTGTACATAAGGTCACTATGAGTCAGAAATGACTTGATGGCACTTAACAACAAAGTACCTTATAATATCACTAAATTCACAACAATTCTCATATCCCATGATGTCTAGAAAGTACTTAATATAATTTTAATTAAAAACATAGTTAAAAATCCATTAAGACATCTTTGGAAAAACCACAACTTTCATCTTAATATTATATACAAATACTATCAAAATTTGTAAGAAATAATTTTTTTTCAGTACTTTTGATTTATAACCCACGCTACATATCTAGCTTTGGTCAAAAATTTATTTAAAGGAAAATAATCATAATCAAAGATCTTTAAACTATATGAAGGCAAATGACAGATGTATAATTCAAGCAGTTTGGTTAATATAATAAATATTATATCTTAAGAGAATTGTTAAGAAGGGAAACTTAATTCTTGGCAAATGTTACTAAAAAAAGTATTAGAAAATATTTGGGTGGCTGTAAAAACAGATTTAAAGTTATTTTTTACCATATGAAAAAATATTGATGGAAATTCCATTCTCCTGTGGAATATAATTAGAATTTTACTTTTTTATATAAGGAAAAATCTTACCTGTGATGTACTATCAGCTGCTTTCTTATTAACAGAAGTATCTGATGTTTTGTTTGTCTGGTTTTCTGAGTTTAAAAAAAAACAAACTGAGTCATTTTCAAAAATACAAAAAGTTAGGTTGCTTCATATACAATAGAACAAACAAACAAACTCACTGCTGTGGAGTAGGATCCGACTCATAGTGACCTCCTTGGGTTTCTGAGGCAGTATCACTATGGAAGTAGATTGCCCAACCTTCCTTCTGAGGAGTGGCTAGTGGGTTTGAATTGCCAGCCTTCTGGTTAGCAGTCAAATGCCTTAGGCAATAGTTCATCTAATTTTCTACAACTATTTTGTCTGTCAACATATAACACAGTCAGGTAGATCACTGCTTAAGCATCTTTCAGAAGGAAAAATTTACAAATTTTTTAAAAATTTCACATATCCATTGATGCAGCCATTCTAATTCCAGCCTAAGGAATATCTCAGGGAAATAATTAAAGATACAGAAAACTTGAATGTTCTAACATGAAGGAATGGTTAAAATATAATTCCTCTATACTATGTAGTCCTTTGGAGAGAAAAAAAAAAATGAATGAGCAAAACTGTTTGCAATAAACTCAATAAAAAATGGCTGCAAACAGTAAAATGTACATAGTGATACAGAGAAAATCATATGCAGAATCTAGGTAGTTCAATCATATATGATTTTTTGTTTCTTTGTTCATTTTTCAGTTAACTTGTATTTATTTATTTGATTATGCTTTGGGTGCAAATTTACAAAAGAAGATTTGTTTTACATTCAACAATTCATGCACATTTGATTCCATGGCCTGATTATAATCCCCAACCATAAAGAAAAATTCTCCTCTTTTCTCCTCCCTCTGACTACCCCCTCCTTGTGCTCTTTTTATCTGTGCCAGTTCACTGAAGTGAGTCCATTTCTAGGCCCAAAGGATAACTCAGGGCCATAGTCTCGGAAGTTCTACCAATCCCTATCTAAATAGTAATTCTGGTCATTTTTGTGTTTTTGAATTTTGTTCCACATTTTTCCTCCCAGTCTAGCCAGGATCTCCAATTCTGATGCCTTTTTGAGTGGCTGGCATTGGTAGCCAGGCACCATCTAGTTCTTCTGGTCTTAGGTCTAAGGCTAAGGGGCCTCGCTGTCCGTGTCTTTGGACTAATAGGGGCCTCACTGTCCGTATCTTTGGACTAATTGTTTCCAAATGACTTTGATTTTCTTCACTCTTCTTTGCTCCAGACAAGAGGAGACCAATAGCTGCATCTTACATGGCTACTCAAAAGCTTTTAAGACCCCAACCGCTACTCACCAAAGTAGGATATAGAATAAGATTTTTATGTATTATGTTGTGCCAACTAAGCATGATGTCCCCTGAAACTATGGTCCTGAGCCCACAGGCCCATTGATTCTCTCTTTCAAGGTGTTTGGTTGTCTCTAAGAAGTTACTCCAACCCTGTCCTTTGTTACTTCTATAATGTATGTGGATAATTTTGTAGCACAAGTACATATGTAAGATTATCTTCAGCTAAATCTATTTTGGTCTTGGTATGTTCCTGTTCGCCTAACCACAACTGATCTTCTCACTTGCCTATGCATTTTACTCATAGCCAAGTGTTTGGTGCTAGTGGTAACACAGAATTGTAAAAGGTATTTGCCTGTATTGTCTGTATCTTTTGTGCATGTTTCTGTGTTCCCCACTGTCACCATGCTGGTCACATATTGCCCCTTCTCTCACCCAAATCAACATGTGACCCCCAACTAATCTGAAATTTTCTCTCCTCTTCCCTCCCACCCTCGGTAATCAATAAAGTTAATTTCCTTCCCTCAGTAAACCCTTCCTTGTCTTTTTACAATAATGGACTCATAACTTGTATTTATTTTATAGGGAGAACACATGAAAGTTACTTCCAAAACAACATAAATAATAAACCAAGTATGTCTTAACTCCAATTTCTAACTAAGGAATTAAAAGGGAAGGTACTAAACATTATCAAATGTCTCTGGCATCTATTGAGGTGATCACTCAGCTATTCATCTTTGGTGATACGGTAATGTGAATTAAATTATCAGTTTTTCTGATGTTGCTCTCTGGGGAGAACACCTTCTTTGTCAAGATATAGCATATCATTCATGTGCAAATGTTCAAAATACATAAAAGCTATTAATTAAAAAAAAAAAAAACTTTTCACATATACATATATAAATCTGTACTTAAAAAAAACTATCAGTTAAGATAAGCATTTACCTATCAAAAGAGGTTATTCCAGGATAGGGAAGTACAAAGAAGGCCCTTACAATTTCTCCCTACCAAATTATTTTGATTATTTTTGTAGTAGGAATGTATTAGCTTATTATTAACTTTTAAGAATTTATCTTAAAATTATTTATTACAAATCAGCATCTGTTTTGGACTATGAAGTTCTATAAAGGCTAGTTAATATAAAACTAATTCTAGGTTACTGATCCTATATGGTACAATATTAAGATATATTGATGACATTATAGGAGTGCCAGTTGATAGTGTCCCTTAATAGATGCTGGAAAATTATTATATGAACACAAATCACAGGTAAAATCTTCACTTTCTTAACTCTGCCTTTGAAGAAACTCAAATGAAATTATAGTTGAAAGAACAACAGTTGGTTTGTTGTTTTAAAAAGTACAGTTTTTTTTTTATACTTTTGGAATATAAAATGTTTAGTAAAACCTTAGAGAGGTTACTGTACTCTCCCAGTATACACATAGAATTCTCCCCCAAAATCTGTTCATCTTTTAAATGCAACAGCATTTAACAAGGTCTTAAGAAATCTGAGTCATTGTTAATTTCTCCATCTCCCTTACCCATCTAATCTTTAATCAATAAATTACCAAGTACTATCAATTGTACCTCCTGAATAACTTTCAAGTCTTTGACATATCACCATCTCTAATCTGGACAACTACAAGAGCCTCATAATTAATCTCCTTAACTCCATTCTAATCCCCTCCAAAACAACTGCCCACACCACAGCCATTATTCATGTGTGTCATCTCCTACACAATACTTCTAATATCTCCCTAATTTCTCCATAGGTCCCTGTGTGGTGCAAGTGGTTTGCACTCATCTACTAACCTAAAAAGGTTGGTGGTTCAAACCCACCTGTAGTGTTACAGAAGAGAAGCCTAGTGATCTGCTTCTGTACAGATCACAGGCAAGAAAACCCTATGGAATAGTTCTGCTCTGTAATACATGGGGTTACTACCATGAGTCAGAATTGACTTGAAGGTAAAGAGTCTGGTTTTGGTTTGGTTTTATTCTGCTTATCCCTCCACTCATTCTTTTACACCTTTCCAGATCTCCCATAACCTTTCACAACAATATGCGTATCTTAACTCTCATCCCATTTATAGTTGCTTATTTAATGCCTAAATTCCCTATTTGACTGGGAACTCAGTGAGAATAGGGACTATTTTATACAGTTCTATGTGTCTGCAGGACCTTAGAACAATACAGACATTCAAACTTGATGAATAAATGAAACTAACTATAATTTGAGTCCTAAATTTCTAAACTGTCCCTAGGAGATTTTTACTTTACTAACATCAGAAGGAGCTCTGGTGGCATAGTGCCTAAGGCTATGCCAGAAGGCTGGTGGTTCAAGCCCACTAGTCACTCCTTGGAAGGAAGACTGGGCAATCTACTTCCGTAGTGGTATCACCTCGGAAACCCAAGAAGGGGTCACTATGACTTGACAGCAGTGAGCTGTTTTTCTTATCATCAGAAAATACTGACTTAAATTTTAAAGATATACTGAATTATGATAATACATATATAAATGTATACATTCTACTTACACAGCATATATTTTCATTAAATAAATAATACCTACGTAAGTAGAAGACTTAAAAGTTTTAATTACATAGTCTAATTTATCACATAAGGAATATACAAATTTTGTTTTTAACTTTGATATGCAGCCAAATTTTGCTATCTGGCTTCAGTTTAGGTTTTGGGAAGCCCAGAGACAAAAGACCTCATTTCTGTCGCTCCAAAAATTATGCTGGAGCTCCAAAAATTATGACACTGTGTGTAATGTATTTGGCTGCTAACCAGAAGGTCAGTAGTTCAAACACTCCAGCTGCTCTGTGGGAGGAAGATGAGGCAATCTACTTCTATAAAAATTTACAGCCTTAGAAACCCTACAGGGGTTGCTATGAGTAGGAATAAACTTGATAGAAGTAGGTTTTTTTTTTTTTTTTAATAGAATATATGCTCTTATTCTAATTAACATTATGGCCAACATACAAAGGTTGTCATTCCGCTTTATTTTAATATTTAATTTACTTTCCAATATGGTAAATGTAGGTAAGCATTCTTAGTGGAATTTGGAAGGAAAATTCTCCTTTAAACAATTTGTTTGTGTACACACAAACACACACACATTAAATAAATGTTAAAATATAAGATTTTGTAAGTTTCCATATAAACGTGGATTATCACAAAAGTAAAATGCAGTACTAAATAATGATTTTTTTTACAATATTCGATATACAAAAACAGTTAAGAATAGTCAAATAAATGAACATGAAAACAGATTGACACTTATGACTAATAAAAAGAAGTACATGAGCAACGTAACATTGGGAAGACTGTACCCTTTTTCATCTATCAAATGCTCATCCAAATTTTAAGAGGACACCATAATGTAATTATAATTCTGATATTTACAAAAATACTTAGGATAATAGCATCTATACAATTAAACAAAAAAAAAAAAAAACTAGGTTATTTATTTCTTTGCAAGCCACGGAATCTCAAAAGCAAGTTCTTTAACTAGGAATATATCTCATCTGGGAACCATGAATGTCAATTATGCCTCAAAATTTCATGACAAAAAACTCCAAAATCATATAAAAGAATAAACATACCAAGGCATCTTCTACCCTGACATATTAAAAATTACAAAAAATAGTAAGGAAAAAGAAGAATTAGAGAAAAGGGAAGTACCATAGAAGAGTATCACTTGTCCACTAACCTCAGGTAAAAGTAAGCATCTATTTTAGTCTGTAAACAAGAATAATAACGTCTAAGGAATAATACTGTGGCATATAATGCTAAGAAATACTGTTCCTGCACTATATTAAACATTCAAATTAAAAATACTAATATTATTAATAATAGTTGCATTTTTAGGTAAAATTTCAGGTTCATATCACAGACGTTCATTATATGAAGGTGATATTCCTCTTCTGCCAAATAGTAATTTTGATTTGCAACTCCCTGACTACCTCTGTGACATACCATCAGTATTTTATAATTTAAAAAACCCCCACACATTTAGAGAGTAAGTACAGTATCAATGACTATATGACAAATAAAAGCAAGGACTGCATACTTATAAAAGTAATTTTTTTACTTTAGATCGTTTTTAAATTTCATAGTCATTTCATCAGTAAAGAGGAAGTCTACTGCGTGGTGGTTAAAGCATTCAGCTCCAACCAAAAGGTTGGCTGGCTGAAACCACTAGCCACTCCATGGGAAAAAGAGGAGGCAGTTTGCTTCTGTAAAGATTAACAGCCTCGGAAACCCCATACCAAAACAAACAAAAAAAAAATCACTGGCATCGAGTCGGTCCCAACTCATAGTGACCCCTCCTCAGGTTTCCAAGGTGGTATCTCTGCCTTAGGCATTATGCCACTATAGCTCCTGGGGCAGTTCTAATCTGTGCTAAAGGTTTGCTATGAATCAGAATTGACTCGATGGCAGTGAGTTTGGTTTTTTGGTTTACATAAATAAGACAGAGAGGTCTAGTGCCTAAAGCATCTGACTGCTAACCAGAAGGCTGGTGGTTCAAACCCACCAGCCACTCCTCAGAAGGAAGGCTGGGCAATTTACTGCTATAGTGATACTCCCTCAGAAACCAAGGAGGGGTTGCTATGAGTCAGATCTGACTCCATGGCTGTTTGGTTTTTGGGTTATAGTTACACATGATAGTTACAAAAGTACCTAGATAGAGTAAATGCAAAATCAGAAATGAAGAATAAACAAGTCATGGAATATATATAAAATGTATGCTTTCAGGAACGAAGAACTAGAGTTTTGCAGAGTTTAAATATAAGTACACATAAGTTCTCCTGTTTGCAATATCTCTAAGTAAATACAAACATAATCACATAATATATCATAAGGGAAAATAAATAATAGAAGCATGAAACAATCATTTTGTAGTACATGAGAGGAGGAAGACTATTTTTAAACTTCAAATTTAGAAGATGTGAGTGATGAATGCACAGTTACATTTTTCTCTTACAAGTATATAGTATGTCACTTAGATACTTTTAAAAAATGTTTGTTCTATTCAGATATTCCTGAAAAATTTTAATAAAAACAATTCACAATGCTTGCTATAAAGCATAAATAAAAATTCACCCAATTAGGAAAACTATTAAAAGATAAAATACAAATACTAACCTCTCACTCAAAATATACTCATTCCATCCCATTTAAACAACACTATTTGTCTTAGGTATTTAAATTACTATCTAAAGAAATTCTGTTCACTATGCTTTTCAAGTAACACTAGCCACTCATCTCCCCCCACAAATTCGATCATGTAAAGGCCAATAATATGATTGCATTTCTATTATTAAACATACATACTGACTTACCAATTCTTGGGGTGGTAGTGTTGCTCTGTTCTGCAGGAGATGAAGTACTAAAAGCAGAAATTGGAATTTTCATCTGTATAGGACCTCGATTATTGGATGGATTATAGAGTCCTGATGGTCCTACTGTGGGTAAAGAAGTCCTTGTGGCTTGTACAATAGAGTGTGCTGTTGGAACAGCCTGTACAGCAAGTGTTGTTCCTAATGGTGTAGCACCAGCCGGAGAGTTCCTTTGAATACTAGGACTGGGCACAGAAGAAACGTTGTTTGGTTTAGTGGGGTTTGGCAGGGATGGCAAAGATACTGGATTTTTGGTGAGACCACTCACTGTAGGTGGGCTTTGCACAGAAATAAATTCAACGCTGCCAGAAGGCGGATTGGTCACCAAAGTCCCTGGATGACTCTGTAGGAGCTGAGGCTGGGAGGATACAGCAACAGGTACATGCAAAATCACTGGCAAAGGTTGTAAAGAGATTGTAGGCTGGGGATTTCCACTGGGCACCTGAGTAGTGGCAACTACTGTAGCTGTGTTGGGTGCAGGAAGAACTGATGTTGCTGTCAGAGAACCTGAAGTTGCTGGAGTCTGCAATTTAGGCTGGCTGTTGACAACTGTTGGAGGAGTGATAAGATTGGTTGAAGATACTATAGAAAGAAAAGAGAAATTGTAGTTTAAATGTCTATATTCATATTAGCTAGGAGAATATGGCACATACAAATGTAACACATTACACTAGATACAATAAAGTCTTTGACAATGAAATTATTTCCAGATTCAAATTCTTAAAATTATTAGAACTATTTTCGCTGTGTGTTTGGCACAATATGGAAATAGCATGTGATTTATTATTAATATGGATACTATCACACTATCCAAACAATCTCTGAAAATTACTACAGTTACTTCAGAGTAACTAACTGGAAACTAACAGAGTAGCAGGCCGGAATAGCAGGAGAAAGGGGAAAAGCCCAGGCACAAGTGCTCAGACAGCTCCCTTGTTACCCTCCCGAGAGGGACCGGGTCTCCGGGACCAAGGTGGGCACGTGCAGGCTGGTGCTTACTCACTGATCTGCACTGAACACTTTCCCTTGTTACCCTCCCGAGAGGGACCGGGTCTCCGGGAGCAAGGTAAGCACGGGCGTAGCACAGAGTAGCAGGCC